TGTTGATCAAGTCCCAGTGCTGTATCTGGTGTTTGTCACAACGCGCTATTATCCAAGTCATCTTGAAAACATTCTTCTTTTCTTTTTTTCACCATAGTGTTCCGCTTGATTAATGTATAGAAATTGTTTTATTATAATTCATGCAGGGAGTTTTACAGATTATATGGACACTGCAATGCAAGTAGAACAGGAAAGGAAATAAAAGATGAAAGAAAGAGGAAATAAAATGATAAAGCATCTTCAGTCTGCTTTATCACTTGCAGAGAGAGATGGAAAAAAAACCCAAAGGATATAGTGTAAGAGATACAATAAAGTAACACCTTGATACTATCGCTGAAGTATAAGTATTATTTAATCTGACAAGTATACTGTTGTAGCTGAAGATAAGAATATGGGCTTTCTGTATGGAAGTGAATCTCTAAGTACCTGGAGCCAAACACCTGTAGTTGATTGTGAAAGTGCACTTATGTATGTAAAGTTTTAAGTTTTTGGAGTGTGGGAGGAAGCTGGAGTACCCAGAGAGAACCCACGCATGCTCAGGGAGAACATGCAAACTCAATGCAGAAACACCCGAGGCCAGGAATCAAGCATGCAACCTTCTTGCAGCAAGGCAGCAGTGCTACCTACTGCTCCACTGTGCAGCCCGTTGTTTTCTGAGTTTAATAAATTTGATCAATTCCAAACATTTCAGACCTTATTTTTTTCCTTTTATTTACATTTATTAAGTTGAGGGTATTTTGGTAAACACGTAAAGGAGTTTAATCTGCTTTATTGTCAGAAGGTGAGTAAACATCATAAACGTCCTGGAAACTAAGGCAGCCAAACAGAGATGGTTCCTGCTGTTCCCCGGGTCACCAGCAGAGGGAGCCAGAGAGGCGGACTAAAGGAAAGTGAAAGCAGGTTTGAGAGAAGCAGGCTGCTCCCCTCGGTGGGTCCGAGCCGCTGATTAAACTGCAGAGAAACGCCTGAAGATCCCAGCGGGATGGAGGTATGGTCCTCATGTTCATGTTTCACTGCTCATCCAGGCCGCTGAGCAGGAGCTGGGCTTCTACTGCTCTGGAGAACCGGCCGGACCCCTCCTCTCTGGTTAAACTTCGGTTCAGGGCGCTGTGGCCCCCGCTCCTGCTCTGATGGGCCCCTGGAAACATGATTAGTAAAGAAAAGGGTCTGATATGATTGTTTAAAAAGTGTAATAGTAGGCCAGGTAAACTGGAGGCGGGACTTCCTGTTGTAACGTCAACTTCCAGCATAAATCCCGCCTTTCCTGTTTGTCCCCACTCTTCATCATCATCATCATCCTCCTGCTCTGCTCCTGGGAAGCGGATCCAGCTGAGACCAGCCTGCATGAAGAGGCCTGTTTATGTTTGTAAAGTTAGGCGTTTAAAAATTAGGAGCAATATTTATGGTTACCGTATTTAGCGTGTTTTTAGAGAAAAATAAGATTATTTTTTCATTATGTCATTCATTCATTTATAAAAATATTATATTGATAAATATTTAGCTCCAAACTCAATATTTAGTTTAAATATATATTTAGCTCCAAATTACATATTTATTTGTAGATTTCTTTATTTAAATCTAATTATTTATTTTATAGATTACGGAGATCGGCCTGTTTTCCAGTGTAGTCCTGTTTCTCTGACTGACTAACTGGATGTGCTCTCTTCATCCTCTGACATGGGAGCTGGCTCCGAGCTCGTCTGCCTGGCTGTGTGTTTCCTGGACAGGGCTGCCTTTTATAGCTGCCTTTTGTATCTATGCTTCTTTTTCTATGTCTGCTTCTGTCTCCTTGAACCCCAGTCG